GAATCTTCTACTTTGGACAGTGAGGGGCAGCGATAGTCAGGATAAATTGAACAAAGCAAAGAAGGACGTTCTTAAGCACATTGAAGACACCACTGGGCTCAAATTAGATCAGGTAGAATCAAGTGGAAGACCAGATACTCTTGATCAGCGTTAAATTCTCTATCGAATGATGTATGATTAAGCGGAAAATAAAATAGTGCTATAATTTTGAATTTGGAGCACCTTAAAATTGAACAATTAGTAACAATTAAAACTAAGCCATCATGATCATCTTACTATATATGCATTTGTGTGTATCACATGAACATTGGACATAGAAAGAACAATGGTCCGGTCTAAAATGAGACTGTGAAAAAAATGTGATGATGACCACCTCCTATACTCTGTTACTGAATTCTGAAAACGGCAAAAAGGTTTCGACGGAGCTACGAAATCTAAGAAAGGTTCTTCCCTAGGTACAAACTCAAAATTATTCGTACGAAACCTTTTTAGGTCTCGTCGCTCTGTCGAAACATTTGTCGTTTTTAGAGTTTGATAATACTCTTAATTTTTTCAAAGTGTACAATTTTCCTTCGCCCTATTTTTCTATTATTCGATGAATTTTCTTTCAGTATTTTTTCCTTTCTACATTTTCTTGATTCTACACTTCTCTCTTCTGTATTTTTTCATTCATTCTATCAGATCAATTAAAGCGAGTATTTTTCCTTCATGGTAATATTCTTCTTATAATCATTGCGAGTCAGAAATTTATAAAAGAATTTCAAACGTTGTTGTTCACAGCTGTTATTGTGTTCTCTTTAATATATGTGAGTATCGACTATAATATAAACGTAAGCTTTTTTCTCTCACAATAACTACGTGCGACAATGCAAGACCAATAAAAATCACTTGACAACTTTGACATTAGTGAGACACTGCTGTGTTTGAAAGTTCACAATCATTGAGATAAGAGCTTCTCTTATTGATACAGCCGATTTTTGAAAAGACAACAGATTAGTAATTTTATCAGTAGTTTGTACTTTGGTCTCGCTCATGTGCACCACATCATTGCCTTGCAGAACTAGTTTGAATACACGAACAACAATGAGACGCACATTTCATCTAAGAATGACCAGCATTAAGATAACCATTAGCAGTGCAAACTAATATATTTCTAATGAAAATATTAGAAAGTACATCTTGCTAGAAAACTCCAATGGTTCTTGGAAATAGTAGAAATATTTATATAGAATCATAACGGTTGCGCAAATATCATTAGGGATATATCGAATTCTATTTGAGCTCTCTTCTCTCCCTCTTACTTGACTCATCGATCTTTGAATTGATTCAGTTCGATTCTCGAGGAAATCTCAAAATATAAAATTTATTCAATGATCTTCAACTTTTATGATTTTTTTCAAAGTTCAGATCGCGTCTACACTTTCACCTTCAAAAATCCATAACTCCTTTCATGTATTTGTAGTAGGTATTATACAATCAAACAAACACATTACTCTGAGTCAACAATAATATTCATTGTGGAATAAATCAGTTTCTACCACCATAGGTAGACAGCGTCATTCGAGAATGTAATTGAATAGTTGTCAAGTAAGTTCTCATTATCGATAAATGCTTTCACGTCTTTCACTATATCATGATTTACCCCGCCAATTGTGAGACGTAATGTGAGTGGATTTTGATCGAATGGTCAATTGAACGTTATTTCTGTTAGATATGACATGATCATTATCAACTTGTTTGGAAGATAAAGATGGTATTGGTAGATGGGAAAACCAAATGAGTTCCAACGAATGAACATTGAATGCATGATGAAGAAGCTCAAGTAACTGAACACGTTCAAGATTTCTCCAACCAATAACTAATTGATTAAGATGTGCCAAAGGAACAATACGATTGAGATCGTCAATAGGCAAATAGTTGTCTTCATTATCTCTATCCTCAAACGTGAAGTTAGTTGCGTGTGGAAATCTAAGTAAGCAATGAGTGAGAGCTTGATAACTGTCAATGAAGATCTGTCGAGCCATATTGAGTCCACGATCTCGATATGGACATATATAGTCGTCTTTAATTGACCACATATGGTATTCATGCCTGTTGACAGAAGAAATCAATGAAACAATTAAAGAAAGCTTATTTCAATACCTGTATCGTTGAATTGAATAAAATGTGCCAAAACGAAAGTTCGAAGAACCGGAATGTTGATGGGCAAAATACCATTGATGTTCGCGCCAAAATGGAGAAGAAAATCTCTGAATAATTGAATGATATGTATTATATTGATGATCATCCGATGCTATGCTGCATCTATGTTCAAAGTCAAATACCCGTAAATGAGGCATATGCTGTACAATTAAACATTGCCAACGATCAGCATCGAGATAATTCTTGTCATCACGTATTTGAATACGTACGAGTTGTAGGCGAGGACATAATTTTGAAATAAATAATTCGAACTGATCGAATGATAAATGGCAGGATTCCGTAATACAGATCTCTGTCAAATCGGACGGAATTATCGACATATCTCTTTGTATGTTTGGGAGAACGCAGCCTTCTCTACATGACAAATGACGAAGTTTAGGCATATACGAACGAGGACCAAGTTGATCAAGATACCAATAATGATTAGTAACCAGATATTTGATTGTGTTGTTTTGTTGCCCAATAATATGATTTGGAATGCGAAGAAGATAGGGACATCGAATAAATCGACGTCTAGTCCGAATATTACAATTAATATATTCCAACATAGGTAGTTGAAAGATTAGACCGAAGATAAGATCTTCGTTTTTCATTTCGTCAATAACATCGATAGATAAAGAGAAGAGACGAGGAAGTAACATCAAACGAGTAAAGAGAGGTTGAAGTTCATCTGACTTGATTTGATTGAGGACAAGTGATTCAAGACAAATGAACGAATCGATTAAGAAATATTTGAGAAAGAGACTAATACTAAGTTCACTTGATATATGAAGTGAAACTATCCGATCGACATTTTCCGAAATTATTTTTTTACATCGATATTCGAATATTGATTTAGATGTAAACGAAAGATTAATCTTGAGAAGACGAGATGGACAATTGACAATGCGATTGTAACGGGCATTCAGATTTGAAAATGCTTCATGTGCATCACATCCATCGAGAAAATCAAGAATTTCATAGACAATTTCGTTCGATAAATCTTCAAAGGATGATCTATATATTCTATGTTAGATATTTTTAACAATTAGAAAACTTCAAGATAAACAATTGTCACTTACCGTTTCTCATTATTTGCTAAGAAAAGAAAATAGAACGGATTCATTAATAATTAATAAAAGATAAACAAATATAACTTACTTCGTATCTTCTTTCTTCTATCATTAGTTGATTCAATATCATTTGAATTCCGTTTGCTTTCGTCCATTGAAAGTATTAAATAGTCTAGTTATTGAAAACACTTATTTAAACACAAAATGACAATACTTCTCTCTAATTCAATCTAATGAATAAGAAGTATCTATTATTCGAGTGTGCTCCATTTTATTTTCATGTTCAATATCTTATTTCTATTGAATAAATAGTCATTCAATTATATATATCATTTCTCTCTCTTCCGACTATGTCGGAAGGATGAACGTATGAACCGGACGTGAATTAACCGGCAGACGAAATTCAATATAAGACGGTCAAGTGAACAGATCATTTCTGGCGAAAGAAAAATTGTGAGAAAGACTGAAAAACAGTTGAACTAAATATTGTTGGCTCGTCCATCTTTTTCTTGTTTTTAATCATCGATGTGAACATCCGTTAACCAATAATAAGATGAACAAGAGACAATTGTTGACAACTTTCACCTTATCATATGGGGTCACATTTGCACTAACTTATTCGTAATAACTTCATTTGAACTAAGAGAAATCTCTAAATTCTACTTGATGAAGAACTATATCAATAGAAATATCGTTAATGGGGAGATCCATTTCAAGTGAATGTTCACCTATACAATCCATTCATTAGTACTTTCATTGAAATTTTATTCTCGTTGCAATGATCCATTAAAATATCTGGTTGTTCTTCAAATCAACGAGACCCTTTGCACCATTGCTCGAATTTCGAGGATACATGAAAGCGTGAGGGTGAGGGTATGAAAGAGTGTGATGTCGCGGTGCCGTTGATCTGAATAAGTGGCACATTTCTATCATCCTAATATACACATTCTATTAGAGATGATCAATAAACTTTTGAGAAGTTGATTGGTATTATATGAAGAGGATTACTGTCGAAGAGAGATTTCTCTTGTGATGTTTGAGAAAGAGCACAACTTGTTCATCATCGTTAATTACATCATAGAAAATTGTTTTAACGAAAGAATATCCTTTTCTTATGTTCTGAATATGGTCATAGAAGATGTCTTAGTCTAGATAGACAATCAATGCTTGTTCAGTTTTTCAAGATCGGAAGACATCGTATTCCTCTTGGATTTGAACAAATTTCAAGACGATTTCAACGATTTTCTAGGTCAATGATCGACTCTGATCGGTGCTTTCGATCTAAGTGACAATTATTCAATAAAGTTCTTTTGTCTAAAATTGTCGATGGAAATGTTAGAAGAAGTTCATGTGAATATCTCTTCTCATAAACCGAAGTTCGAGGAGTATCTTCGATTGTAACATCGTCATATATAGAAGTAGCCATCAATGTCTTTTGATCATTTGGAATCCGGTTGAAGCCCATAGAGTTGAACTAATCTAATATATATTATTATTCAGATATCATTTCAATTGAATATTTGGTACATTCGCCCAGTTCTAAAGAATATTCTCCAAGATTCTATCTTATATAATGAGTATAGAAAAGTGAATTGAACATCAACTTCTTTATATGATCTGATTAGTGTTTCATCTCTTTCGAACTTTTTTTCAAATCCGAAGAACAATTGAAAAGTTTTCAACAATCTATTTGTGATATACAATTTCAAATAGAATTATTCAGAAGATCTTTCGACTCCACTATACAATAGCCATCGGAACAAATTAACTTATTAATGGAAGTTCTTTTCTCAACAAACTCATTTATCGAATCGATCAGAACACAACTATTTCTCATCTATTGTTTAAGAATGAGTGAACGAAATTAGCTCTCTTCAAATAAGCTACTTCATAGATCTCATTGAGATTAATCAAAAACTATGTATTTAAATGAATTTACCAATGAAAAATTCGTCTGTCTACACAATCTCCTATATTTCGTTGATACTTTTATTTTTTGTTGTATAGCCTAAATAGCGTGTTTAGGTCACATAGACTTAGGTCATACAGGTCTGTATGACATATATATATACATATATATACAAACGACATGTGATTTGAAAAGAGAAAATTCCTTTTTCTTTTTCAGTGAACACGCGCATCATATATAAAAGTGATATGAAAACTAGAATAAGTTGAACAATAACTTCACAGTAGTACATAGCAATTGAGAGAGTGTATAAACTTTATACTATAAAGTAGCAGAAATAAAATTGCTGTGCGCTCATTTTGAGTTCAGTGTCTAAGTGAACCTGAGGTGAATGGCCTAGGTTAACTGCATCATGTTCCCGAAGAGAAATCCGGGTAAAACATGGTGAAGTCAGCGTCTCAGCTGTCTGAAGAAAAACTTCAGAGCTTTCGTGACCCTGAAACCTGTGTTTTCCAGTGTTCTTCGACCCAAGAAGTTGTTATCTTGCACAAGAAACGGGGAATTTTCTATGTCAAAACTTAATTACATCACGTTCTCGAAGAAAAGTCCGAGTAAAACAAGGTGCACTGTTAATTCGATTTATTTTATAATTTATAAAAAATCGACTTTGAAAATCGCAAACGATTTAGAGCTTTTATGAAATCGTGAACGATTTTATAAGAATATTGAAAATGCTTATTTTCTACTTTGTTAAAAATCGAGTCGATTTTCAAGAATTTTGCTTTTCAAAATAGTTCGAAAAATCGTCTTGATTCTTCAAGCAATAGAAAACGTTTCCTGATTATCTCTAAAATTAAAGAATCGACTGATTTTACAGAAGGTCAAACTGATTTTTTAAAAAGAGTATTTGATTTTCTCTAAAACAAAATTAATTTCTAAAAAAGATCGTCTTTATTTTCTGTGAATTTGAAAGGAACTCGCTGGCATTTTTTAGTCAAACGAGAAGATGTAAAGCGGGTAAGTACTATAATGGACACAGAAGTTTTTTGGTTGTTTCAGTCAGTCTCTGATTGATCAGACACCCAAATTCCTCTGATTAATATCTCAGCCGCATACTCTGAGGAGCGTTGCCCTACATCAATACATTGTCTGTGTTTATTTCACATTTACATCGATGATGGTTTTTACGATATTATGTAATATTAGGTGTTTTTATCTTTCGTTGAGAAAAAAGTTAACGTATTCTTCTTCTAAACGAAAGAAACATGCAGTAAAAAAATTTTAACGACATGTCATTCAGTCCGCTATTTTGATTCTCTTACTCACGCGATTCATATTTCGAAAATATCAGCATATTATGACATGTTCTTTCATTGAAAAAAGAAGGCTTAACTGATTAATCCCTTAATATGCTCTTTCCTTGTTTAAAAAACGTACAGAATAGTTCTTTTCCTTAGTTCAAAAGTAGAATGAAATTTAAGAAACAGAGTGATATGTTCACGAACATCTTATAGACACGTCGTTAGTCTTTCGTCTCATCTTTAAGAAATGCTCCTGCTGTATGTGTTTTGTTCTGGTAGAAAATTTAAGGAACAGAACCAATGAGTTCTTATTCATTCACCTGTATTAAAGCATCGTTTTACTGTCCTCAGTAAATCTTTTTTGGATTCCATGTGAAGAAAAAGCTGAAAAAAAATTTAAACGAGAAGGACGCTGAACAATTGTAAAAATCGTTCTAGATTTTCAATTTCTTTAAAAATATATTCCACTTTTGATTTTCAATTAGTCCACATACGAATTCGCCGGGTATTTTCATCTTTAAAAAGCGTCGTTGATTTTGTGCAAAATCGATTTATTTTCTAGAGTATCGCTTTCGTTTTACAGAAAATCCAGACACGTTTTATGAAAAAGGTAAAATTCTTGAAAATCACGTTTTCAAGAAAGTAGAAAATCGCTGCTGAATTCGTATATGGACAAACTGAAAATCGTTTTTTATTTTCTATAACTTATTCTCAAGTTTACAGTGTGTAACGAAGTCCAAAAAAGGGGTATTAGAACATGCAAGACGCGGGCGTAGCAAGTAGTTGAACTTTCCGAGGAACGGGCTCGACTTACTTGAAATCATGCGCATAATTGATTTTCATGGTAAAATATTTGGTGTTGAGAACACTGAACATGAGTTCTTCAATATTTTAGTTCTCTATGTGGGATCTTTCATCTTAGCAGAACTCGAAGCGAGAAGCCCAATCGTCTCCTCTTTGCTTTTTGGACGAGCGTGTTTACAGTTCCTCTTTTTTGATATTTATGTCTCTTATTATATCCTTTCTTTATTACTTTGTTTGTCTTTGGCTTGAGTCATCGTTATTCTAGGTCGCGAACCTTTGATGACTCTCGCTTTTCGTGAATGAAATAAATTAAATTAATAACTCGGTGAAGAACTGAATTATCCAGTTATTGCATGTTGTTTTACCCGGCTTTTACTTCAGGAACATGATGCCAAAAGGTGATGATTCGAAATATGTTCACACTAAATTTGAGGCTCATTTATCACTTGGCGAGTTGGCAGCAGAACAAAACTTTTCATTTTTCAACCATGATTTCCACTAAAATAACTTTTTTTTGTGTATAGAGCTTTTTTGTATTGGGAAGCTTGATTACATCATGTTCTCGAAGAAAAGTCCGAGTAAAACATGGTGTAACTAGGACTGAGAAAAGGATCCCACACAACTGCTTCTCGCTCGAGCGTTTCTTTATGCGCCGCACAATTCAAGCGTTTTAATGAATCAGAATTTAAAGAAAATTAACTAATGGACCATTATCTTTCGTTCTTAGCGCCGTTTCACGACTACTCGCCCGTTTATTGACAGCGCGTCGGAAAAGCGCTTTTTTGGCTTTTTTCGACTTATTCTACGCACTGGAGTATGCTGACCCCAATTTTAGTATCCGCAGCTCAAGAAATAGTGTAATTTCGCGTTGTAAGAAGTTAGCATCCAATATTAGCATCCAAAATTGGCCGGCGACGATAATATTTTTTCTTTTCTGTTCAACGTTCGTTGAATACGAATTCATGCAATGCCTTTAAAGTTCAACAGATGTCATATGATTCTGGACATGACCTTCAAGTGTAGATTTTATATATATATACATACTATGTATATATAGTATGTCTGTAAATATGGCTGTATATGGCTGTATAGTATACAGCCATATTTACAGACAAGTGCGAAATTAATGTTCTTGCGAGAA